TGTTTATCCTGTTAGTCCTTAACTGCTAAGATTTTGCTCTTGGATGTCTAGGTCCTACTGAGTAGTTATTTCAATCGACTGGATGTTTAATAATGAAATAATAACATACATTAAAAATATATTTAAGCTATACCAAAGGTTTAAATGACAAAAATCATGTGCTTGTGGTGTATCATCTCATAATACTGTAGACTTTTAGCCATTAGAAGTCATTGTAAAGCAACTCCAACTAAAGATTCCTCTTAGATATTCTAGGTTAGTACTCATGAATTGAAAGGAGAAAGAGGTTGGCGCTAATGATGATTTTAAAAAGTAGCAATGGTACCAAATGACCCCCAAATGAGGAGATGATGCTTGACATGAAAACAGAATGGTATATATGGTGAACTCTGTAAATATGTTACTGTTCTGCTATTAGAGCTCCACAATCACCAGATTAGAAAAGGGGATACAAAAGAAGAAAGCCAGGGGCTGGTATGAGTCAGTTAATAAAACAGGAGAAAATTGCCTTTATTAGAATTCCTGAAACTTTTAAAAAATTAGTAGAAGGAAAGGAGATGTAATGAGTCAAAGACACTTCTTCCCCAACTCTGTTTCACATTGCCTTGTATCTTTGGAAACCCATGCAATTGTGGATTGTTTATAGTATTTTTAGATAAAAATCATTGGCAATGATATATTTTGGAAACAAATTTGTGAGTTCTTGGATTCTTCTAAATGAGGTTGGCTTTTTTGCCATTTCCCTAATTTTAGAAATACTCGAAAGTTAAAAAATTTAGTCTATATTTTAAAATTTTGATAACTTGAAGTATGTATGGTAAGTGGCAGAACTTAGTTTTAAAACTATTTTATTATTTTTATCTTATTTTATTCTATTTTATGTGTATGACTGTATTGCTTGTATGTATGTAAGTGCACCTGTGTTGTACAGTGCCCACAGAGGTCGAAAGAGGTCGTTGGATCTCCTGAAACTGTTGTTAGCCATCATGTGGTGGGTGCTGGGAATCAAACCTGAATTCTCTGCTCCTAACTGCTGAGCCAGCTCTCCAGCTCCAACACTTAGTTTTTAAATTGCTTTGTAGTAAACATTAGTATTTAACTTTTCTTATGTGGACTGGATGACCTGTTGGCATTCATGAACATTTATGAAATGTAATTTTTCTTTGAATATGTGTTGTATTTAATAATATTAACTCTGCTCTTGTTTGATTTAAATGCTTTTACATATTTGTATAAGTCTAATGTTTCACTGTAAAATATAACTGTAGATTTTGCATATTTAGATATTTACTTTTAAAAGCTAAATATATTTATTCTAAGATTATTCTAATGTGTCCTATCAATATTTCTGAAAATAATGTTTTCACCATTTTATATTTCACTTAACCCATAAAGAGTTTAATAATAACATAGTCTTCTAGAAAAGCAGTTCAGCATTGGAAACACTTTCTATTCTTTTTTAAAATTTATTATTTTTATTTTATGTGTATGCATGTATTGCCTGCATGTGTGTAAGTGCACCTGTGTTATGCAATGCTTGCGGATGACAGAAGAGGTCGTTGGATACCCTGGAACTGAAATTATGGACAGTTATTAGCTGCCATGTTGGTGCTGGGATTCAAACCCAGATCTTCTGCAAGAACAATCAGTATTCTTAACTGCTGAACCATCTCTCCAGCCCCACACTTTCTATTCTTTATTACTAATTTTATAAAACCTTAAGTGATTCTTTAATATATCTCCTGAATGTGAGCCATCAGTAGAATGGAGAGGATGGGATTTAGTTATACAATGTTAAGAATGACATTTCTGAACATTTCAGCCCCAGTTTCTCAATTCTGTATCTGTAGCTATGCTTTCCCTCCCTAGTTTCCATTTTCTTCACTTGGGGAGTAGTTAATGTTTACGGAATAGAGATTTGTTTTAAAAGATATTTTTATTACATCCATTTTGTGTGTGTGTGTGTGTGTGTGTGTGTGTGTGTGTGTGATGGCATGTACACAGAAGCCCCACAAAGGGAGGATCAGAGGATAACTTGTGGAAGGCAATTCTCTCTTTCCACTATCTGGGACCTGGAATCTAACTCAGGTCCTCAAACTTGACAGCAAGCACCTTTACCTGCTGAGCCATTTCATAGTCCATAGAGATTTAAGATTCTTATGAAGAAAAAAATATAAAAGTGCAAAATGCAATGCTTGGCACATGGAACATGCTCTCATCAAATATTAGCTTTCATTTTCATCTTAATTTTCCTGATTCATTTTAATTCTATAACAATTTTGAAATTTATTCTTGTACTTTAAAAGAAGTGTTGACCAAGAAATCTGTTTAAAATAAATGAATGATTGTATATATTAAGTAGAACTAAATAAAATGTTCTAATGTCCATCAAATCCTTAAGCGCATGTTATTTTGCTTTCTACTAACTTAAATGTGTAGCTCAAGTATGATATGACGAATTTCTTTGTCCCTTTGGTACTTTTGGCATATTAGGATAAAATGCAGGCCCAGTATTTCTATTTATTGCTGATGCATATTGTCTTCTGAGATCATATTTGAATACTATATCTCTACATAGATTTTAATATTGTAGTATTAGGTCCAGTACTTTGTACACTTAAATTTTTCAAATTCATCTATTTTGTGTGGGTATGGCAGGAATTGGAGAGATTAATAAATGACTTCTTACTTCTCAAATATAACTGTATACTTTATAGTGAAAAATATTAGTCACATAATTTGAGTTCATAAAAACTTGGGTGTTTTTAATAATTAATACGTTTTTTTCTGCCAGTGAGCATCAGATTACTGCTGACTTTTTAGTGTCAGTACCTTGTGGTAGTGTCTCAGCAAGGTTTAAAGGTATATACATTTTTTTCTTGTACTGTTTATAAGAAATAATCTTTACAAATGCTCTAAAGAGAGTGCCTCCAGAAGTTCTTAAATACCGTTTACATGTTGTGAAGATTGGTCAGTTTCATTGTCTCTTTTTGTCAATCTTGATCGGAGCTTGCAGAGTGAGTCTATAAGCCTGCATGTGCCTGGCAACTGTTACCTAGTGACAGTTTCAGCTGCAGTAGCCATTGGCTGTACTGTTGATTGGGGCAGGAGGACCGAGTCACCTTTCTGATGGTGAGTTCTACATCAGCTCAGGATGAGGAGGAGGAGCAGGCTCTGGCTCAGGTGGAGGCAGTGAGATTGAGAAATTGTAAAGAATCTCCCGGCAGCATCCTGATAACTGCATCACAGTAAAGCGGACTTCAGAATCAAGCAGCCCAGACTAGCTGCTGATAAGAGTGATTGTAGGTGAGACACATTACCTTATTCCTGTAACAAGAGAACTATTTTGTGATAAGTGAAACTCAACATGTACAAGGAGGAGTATCCTGTGGCTCATATGAAAGGAGAAGGACTTTGGTGGATGATGTCGTGCTGCACGAGAAAATAACTTTGGAAGAATGCTTTCTATTAAGCTGCTACATTGTTCCTGAAGGAAATGTTGTCATTTCTGTTGCATGATATTTCTTCAAAAGCTGTGACAACAAAGACCGACAAGAGACTTTCTGAAATGCTTGTACTTGAAAAATACTTTGGCAAATGTTAACCTGATACCAGAATGACCTTGGAAGCCTTTTGGATGGATTCTATCCTGCCAGCACTTCAGTGTTTCAAAGTCGAGGATTTAAACTCATCCTGATGTTTTGAGGTATTTTAAAAACAAGACTATCTCACAGTCTCTACCTGATGGCCCCTGTTTTAATTGAGCTTTTGCTCAAAATAGAATACAGAAATAGAAGAGGCATTTTCTTAACATATGGCTGCTACATAACTGCAAATATAATAAACAAGGTAATTTTCCACTTTCAAAGACTTAGTTTAAGTAGTGCATTAATGTTTTAATCATCTTATAGAAATAGAAAAAGTATAGCAAATAGAATACAAAGCCTACTAGAATACAAAGTAACAAATAATGGCATTATTTCTGATCAGATATGCTTAGTGTACAAGGAAGTTTCCATTACTGTCTAGATTTCATCTGTGTTTTCATTGTGAGATATGTGCATTATTACAAATGTGATAAATTATTTTGAGCTATATAGTTTGTTATACTGCATTATGAAGAGGTGTAATATCAAATAATGAAAGTTATATTCAGCTGTAGATGCTGATGTTAATGCCTTAAAGAATTGTATTTTGAAGTAGAAGCAATATAGATTACAGTGATCTTTGTGGTACCATCAACTGTAATAGACTAAAGCTGTTTTCATGGAGATGTTTTCAAAAATGACTGTAGGATGTAAAATTAAGACTTCAGAAGCTTAATCATTGTGTATCTACCCCACTAGAAATCACCTTTTGTCATAAGCATTATAGGGCAATATGGAACGTGACGCCTAATTTTTACCTTATCTGTGCTCTGTTGTATCCATTAAGAGATGAGTCTTTTAGAATTAACCTTGATAGAGCTGTTCTTACCTTTAAAAAAATGAGAAAGAAGTGGATCCTAAAGTTGACCTGTGAACATTAAATGTTAACTGAGGCCAAGGATTCTGATTGTCACATGAACTTTTTCTTGGCTTGCCAAATGAAGCTGAGATCTTAATTATTTAAGTTCTAAAATATAAATGGATTTTTCATCATAGATGAAACAGGAACCCTCAGACAATTTAAGAATGTTTCTTTGTTTTTCTTTGTAGTTGTTCCTTAAACTCCTTCATAGGAGAAAAACAAAACAAACAAGTAAGCAAACACACACACACACACACACACACACACACTCCAAAAAACTCAAAAATAAAACAAAAAAACTTAAGACAACAAAACTAGTCCACAAAAGCTTTTCTTCCCTTAGCAATTACTCAAAATATTTTTTATAGAACTAATTAATAAATTCATTTTCTCTAGAAGTGCCTTGTATCTGCACAAGTTGCTTGAGAGCACTGGAGGGAGCTAATCAGAGACCTCTTTTCACCTTTCTAGCACCCCCTCCTCCCTTATCCCTCAAAGTTGAGATGTGTCACTGGTGAACTAAGGCTGATGAAGAAACCTGAGCACACTGTGGGACGCTCAGCTGTAATAGAAGCACTGACACTGTCTACTGAAGCAGGTTCTGAGACATTCATGTGCAGAGTTTAACAGATGCTGGCAAGGGCACCTGCTTGCTAGAGCCAAAACTGCACATTTCCCTTCATTCTAAGCCATGAATGAATCCAGGTGGACTGAATGGAGGATCCTGAACATGAGCAGTGGTGTTGTGAATGTGTCCGAGCATCACTCCTGCCCACTTGGATTTGGTCACTACAGTGCGGAGGATGTCTGCATCTTTGAGACAGTTGTTATTGTCTTGCTGACATTTCTAATCATCGCTGGGAATTTAACAGTCATCTTCGTCTTTCATTGTGCTCCACTGTTACACCATTATACCACCAGCTACTTCATACAGACAATGGCATATGCTGATCTCTTCGTTGGAGTTACCTGCTTGGTTCCTACACTTTCCCTTCTCCACTACTCCACAGGTGTCCATGAGTCATTGACTTGCCAGATTTTTGGATATATTATCTCAGTTCTAAAAAGCGTTTCAATGGCATGTCTTGCTTGCATCAGTGTGGATCGCTATCTGGCAATAACCAAGCCTCTGTCCTACAATCAACTGGTCACTCCATGTCGCCTCAGAATTTGCATTATTATGATCTGGATTTACTCCTGCCTAATTTTCTTGCCTTCCTTTTTTGGCTGGGGGAAACCTGGTTACCACGGTGACATTTTTGAATGGTGTGCCACATCTTGGCTCACCAGTGCTTATTTTACTTGCTTTATTGTTTGTTTACTTTATGCTCCTGCTGCTTTGGTTGTCTGCTTCACTTACTTCCACATTTTCAAAATTTGCCGGCAGCACACCAAAGAGATAAATGATCGAAGGGCTCGATTCCCTAGCCACGAGGTAGATGCTTCTAGAGAGGCAGGACACAGCCCTGACCGTCGCTATGCCATGGTTTTATTTAGGATAACCAGTGTGTTTTACATGCTATGGCTCCCGTATATTATTTACTTTCTTTTAGAAAGCTCCCGTGTATTGGACAATCCAACACTGTCCTTCTTAACCACCTGGCTCGCTATAAGTAATAGTTTTTGTAACTGTGTAATTTACAGCCTCTCCAACAGTGTTTTCCGCCTAGGCCTCCGAAGGCTTTCTGAAACCATGTGTACATCTTGTGTGTGTGTGAAGGATCAGGAAGCTCGGGACCCCAAACCTAGGAAACGAGCGAATTCCTGCTCCATTTGAAGAGAACTGCACAGTAAATCAAATGTATTGTGACAGTTGGTTTGGATTGTATTCTTGATTCATTTGGAAATTTGCCCTGGAGAAATATTTATGTGAATAGTTGACTATGAAATGAAGAATGAGATTTAAGATCTCTTTCTTTTTCCTTTTGTGTTAAAAGCAAACAAACAAACAAAAGGAAAGGATATGTAGAAGGTAATCTCATGAGAGAATTAAAGCATGTGAATGTGTGTTCAGTAATAGGACAAATTTGGCCCTGAGGATGAAAAAGGTATCTCAAATCTACAAGACATGAGCAAGCCCCTCAGCCCCTTTCTTTCTCCCACTGTTCTCTCTGCCTCTGTCTTTTTCTTTCATTTAGTCTCATTCTGTTTCTTACTCTTTGTGTTTATGGAAGTTATTATTTGCATAAATTGCCCTATATAAAAAATGCTCATATTATATATGTGGCAAATGTAACATTTTCCATCAAAGTATATTTTAAGACATGCCAATCTGCATAGTAAGTATTGCATTTTATTGTCATACACCCCCTTTGTTTATGTTTTTATAGTCTTCTCTTCAGCACAGATTTTTCCACTACAAACAAAAAGGAGCAGTATTTTTGTTTCTACTGTGGAAAAGGGCATTTAGTTTCTTTCCCTTTTCCTAACAGCCTGCTAATTTTTATTCCAATTTTGTCTTCATCTGAGTACTTTGGTAACTCACTCTAAAGTGTCTTAGTTAATGAAAGAATCCACTGTATAAGGCAATCATAATGTTAAATAAGTTATTCTTTTTAACAAAACAATCTAGTAGTGTATTTAGGAGGTTGCATTAAATTAACTATTTTAATGGATTCTGGATACATTTTTATCTGGTTTCTTTGAAGTTAGTTCATGTGCCTATAATATTGTACCTTTTGCTATAATAATGTTTTTTTCTTTTCTATATAAAGTTCACAATAATCCTAATGCAGATGCAGAATACCCACCCCATAATGATGTATTACCTATTGTGCTACTCAGAACGTCCTTTAAAAAAAAGTGAAACACTGATATTTTGTGTTCAGGCCATAATAACTTACTGTTGTGTCCACTAATCATTTGTGTGATATGTATTTGCACATTTTATATTTTTTACAACAAACAAAATGTAAATTACATTATGTGGTCTGTGCCTAATGCTTCCTTATCACAATGCATAGGTCAATGTTGTTTAAGTTGTCAACACTGGAAAACATAGGTGAACTTATTTTAAAAGGAAAATACTTTTGTGTAGTGTTATTTGGATATTTATATTAGATGAAGCTACATTCTTAGTGCTGCTGGGAATGCAGTATACTTATCAAAAGCAGTTTAGTGCTGCCAGTATTTTGTTTAATAACGATCTGTTTTCAAATGCAGAGGCTAACCTATTTCTTGTGTGCTACCTGGGATTGTGTAATAAGTTCTTGGGGGCTTCGGCTCAAATGGTAGTAAAGCAAATGTGAGCAGAACATCATACTTTTTACACTAAGTTCTTGACTGAAAGATGTTTTAATTTTTTTTTTAATCAAATCGCTGAGTATTTTTTTCTCGGCACTTAAGATTTCTGTGTTTTGAAATGCATTTAATGAAGTGTGCCTATGACTCTTCGACTTAGAAGCCAAATGTGTGCACACTTGCGGTTTGACTTCAGAAGTCTGTTAAAGAAATGTTGTCACTTTATTGAGGTTGTTCTGAACCCCCGTATATTTTTTAAACATGTCAGAGAGGTTTAAAATAAAGAATAAAATAATATTCTATATATCAAACTAGACTTTGCTTCAGTTTACTAAAACACTAGGAATAAGAGTTACTTGTTTGAGAATCAGAATAAAATTGTATTGTATTTCCATAGATGGGTTTACATGAATTCATGTTCTCTGCCAGTGACATTGTGGATGAATTAAAGTATGCCTTTTCAGTAGTACTGATAACTTTCAACTATCATAGATAAAATTTTTCAATATTATGCATATTATTTGGGAATCAAATTTTTATTCATTTAAATTTAGAAGAGTTTAGAGGGGGCTGAAAAGATGGCATAGTGATTAAGAGCATTTGGTGTTCTTACAGAGGACATAGTTCGGTTCCCAGCACCCATGTCAGACAACTTATTATAGCTGGTAACTCCAGCTCTAAGGGAATCTGATGTGCTCCTCTGGCTTCTATGGACACCCACACTCATGTGTACATACCCACCCTCACCCCCAACACCAACATACAAACACACACACACACAATTAAAAATAAAATTTTCTTAGGAGTTTAGAAGTTTTCAGAAAAGACCCAGTAGACATATAGATTCTCTGGACAGAAAGCCTGAAGCTATGCTTACTGTGTTTTCTTAACCTGACTTATCTTCTTGATAACATTTAACAGTTATGTGTCAGGCTCAGTGTTAACTTTTTTTTTGGTCTTTTTGAGACAGGGTCTCCCTGTAGCTCCAGCTATCCTGGAACTCTCTAATTCGACCAGGTTGGCCTTGAACTCAGAGATCTGCCCCTCTGCCTCCGGAGTGCTGGGATTAAAGGTGTGTGCCACCACGCCCGGCTGATTTTTATGTATATATAACATTTAATCCTTTATACCCCTTGCAGATATTACTGTTAATTATTTCCAGTCTAGAAATGAGGAAACCAAATAAAAGTGATTCATTCAAGATCACTCATCAAATAGAGTCTTCTCCCTACTCATCTGTCCTGGAGTCAAAGCCTGTGTCCTTTGCCAGTGTGTCACACCATTGGCTACACCTGATCGTAGCCAAAAGGCTGAGAAATGATCTACATTGCTGTGTTTATAGAAGCTTTCAAACCTGTGTATCACTCTGCACTTTTTCCTTCAAAATTTTTTCTGAACGTCATTTATTTTTCTCATGCTGTCTTTTGCTTCAGTTTTTTCCTTGCAGTATCCTGTTTTTGATCTTATATGCTTCTTTTATTAAAACCCCAGCCTAATAGGCCTTACATCTTGCTCTGTAATCAAACTGAAACTCTGGGAGCATTCTATCTCCTTGATAATTATTTCGTTCATTTTTGGTAGGTTTCCTTGAATAGGTATTCCATAGATCTCTTATTTTCCTTTTGAAAAATTCGTTTGAAGGTGAAGAGTAGAAAAGAAAGACTTTGTTCTAGACCAGAAGATATAGAATGAGGAAAGTTCTGATTTAGGTTTTTCACTTACTACAGTATTTTACTTTACTTCCTCTTGGCATATTTTACTATGTGTTTACATCATAAGATGATTATTTGACTAGTCTTTTTATGTTATAAGAATTGGTAGCATAACCTACACTTTTCCCATCATGGTTTTATATTCTGTAGTAATTTTCTGGTTTGGTTGTTAAGTGACAGAAATAATGCTGCATCTGTCACCTAAGGATTCTGTTATGTGTGCAGTTGTTTCAGTAGTTACAAAATGATGGAAAACTTTAGAACCTACTGGTTTATGAAAACTGGGCTGAAATCCTGGCCTCCCTAAACTGCTGGGTCTTAGATAAGATACTGAATGTTTCCAAATCAAATGTCCTAACTGAAAAAGTTAGAGACTGGTTCCTTCTGTTAGTTTTGAGGAGTAAATGAGATCTGTAGACTATGTCCTTAGCATGTCTCCTTTATATAAAAAGTATTCAAAATATGGAGGCTTGCATTTTACTATCCTTCTTGGCAACATATTTATTACCATCACAACTTAAAGATAACCAGTTTCTTCTGAAATAAAATTAATTTATTGAGATTAGGGTTTTCTTTTTTAAATTTTATTCATTTTATTTTACATATATGAGTGTATTGCCTGCACATAGGTGGGTGCACCCGTGCCGTGCAGTGCTGGTGGAGGTCAGAAGAGGGCGTTGGATCCCCTGGAACTGCAGTTACAGATGGTTGTTAGCCACCATATGGGTGCTGGGAATCAAACCCATGTCCTCTGCAAGAGCAGTTAGTGCTCTTAACCTCTGAACCATCTCTCCAGCCCTGCGAATTAGTGTTTTCTAAGATAACATTTTTTTCCCTCTTAAACACTTTAAAACCCAGATTTAGGATTAGACTTTGATGTCTTTTAGTTTTATGAAAGTCCATAACTTCTCAAGGCATATGTCTCAGGAATAGTTATTTGTGAACACATAATTTGAGATTAAATATATCCCACAAGCAATTTTTGAAGTAAGTTTGAGTCTGAGACTATTTTGTTTCTTCAATCTATTAAAATGTTTAAGGCATTCTTTTTTCTTATTGTAAGACAATAGTAGGAAAGGATTGACTTACCATGTGTCTTTGCAGTCTAATTGTTCTCATTTATTAAAGTGGAATTTGAAATGTTTTGTCATATATGTATTTTAGTTATTAGTTGTCCTAGTTTGCTAAAAGTCTCTGACCAAAAGCAACTTGGGGAGGGTTTATTGCATCTCATACCTCCAAGTGACAGTCTATCTTTGAGGGAAGTCAGGCAGGAATCTAGAAGGAAATGAAGCACAGACTGGACCATGGAGGAATGCTACTTACTGCTTTGTTCCTATGGCCTATGCTCAACCTGCTAACCCAGGACTACCTGCCCAGGGGTGACTTCACACACACAGGGCTGTGCCTGCTCACATCATTCAACAGTCAAGAAAATACCTCACAGACATTCCCACAGGCCAATCCAATAGAGGAAATTTCCCAGTTGAGGTTCCTTCTTTTCAGTTGTGTCAAGTTAACAACCCAAACCAACCATGACATTAGTAAACTGGTTTAGTCTTCAGTACTATAATTTGTATGAGTTTAAAAATAAATGACATTGTTGCCTTAGATGAATTTCTCAGGTCATCCCCATTCCATAAGCTAATCATTATGCAACTACTTAATAAACAGATTAAAAAAGATTCCTTATATCATAGTGTCACATTAGCAAAGTATCACCTGTATTCAGGGAGGACTGTCACTGGGCACAGTGGCATGTACTAGAGAGTTAATGCTACGCTGTATATAGGTTCCTATGAATGCTTTTTTTCCTTGAATTTCCTTGAATTTCCCTATTTTAGGGCTTGGGATAGATAGCTCATTTGGGATGAGGCTTGTCCAATATGCACAAAACCCTGGGTTCAAATCACCAGCATTTCATAAACAGGGAATGGTAATGAATACATAATACCAGCAATCAGAAAGTAGATGCAGGAGAATCAGAAATTCATCCTTGGATACACAGTGAATTTCAGGCTTTTCTGGGCTACATGAAACCCTGCCTCAATCAAAACAAAACAACAAAATGGGGCATTTGTTGAAAATCACCCCTGGCCTTGATCATGGCATGTGTTGAGATTTGGTACCCAGAGCCACCAGGGGCCTCAGCTTACCTCCAGCTGCCACAGTGTGGGAGGGTGAAATCCAGGCCCTGACAAGGGAAAAAAGTGGTTCTCTTTTAAAATATTAAAATTGGGGCTGGAGAGATGGCGCAGCAGTTAAGAGCTGACTGCTCTTGCAGAGGACCTGGGTTCGATTCTAGCACCCGCATGGCGGCTATGACCCATCCTTAACTCCAGTTCCAGGGGAATCCGATGCCCTCTTCTGACCTCCGCAGCATTGCATGACATGGGTTCACTCACATACATGCAGGCAGTACACTTATACACATAAAATAAAAAATAAATATTTAAAAAATATTAAAATTGATGTAAATACAAATATTTCTTTGAGACAAGGGTATCCTTGTAGCCCCAGCTGGCCTGGCACTCACTATGGAGACCAGGCTGACCTCTATTTTATGGAGATCCAAGTGCCTCTGCCTCCTGAATGCCTGGATTAAAGGCATGTGGCACAACACCCAGCATTTAGATAGGATTTTTTTTTTTCTTTTTGAGACAGGGTTTCCCTGTGAGCCCAGCTATCCTGGAACTTACTATGTAGTCCAGGCTGGTCTTGAACTCACAGAGCTTCACCTGCCTCTGCCTGCCGAATACTGTGGCCAAAGTATGTGCTACTTCACCTGGCTCTGGATTTTTAATATTACTATTCCATGTTATTTTTTATTGTATAGTGAGAAATTATTTTGTAACCAGGAAGAAAAAAAATCAGTGCTTTGCTAAGAAGAATGCTGATTATTAAAACAATATTTTGAGGGCTGGCAAGATGGCTCAGAGGGTAAAGGTGCTTTTCACTGAGCCTAATGATGTGAGTTCAATTCCCTGGTCCAGTGTGGTAGAAGGAGAGAACTGGCTCTCAAAATTTGTCCTTTAATTAGTTACTTAAATTAAATAATTTAGTATTTTGTGGAATAGCTTGTTAGTGTTACTATTTGTTAATTTTTTAAAGAGTAACCAATAATGTCTTAGTATCTTCTTATGAAGATAATTTATATACTTTCTATACTTTCTGGTGGTTTTAAAGAAACACTTGCAATATTTTATGTTTTTGATGAATTTTGCATTAGCCTAAAGCTTTGGAGTGTTATTACTGAATCTGAAATGATTTCAATCACTGTGACTGTAGTGTTTTTTTAGTGTGCCACTGATGTCACCTTTCTGCAGTTTGCACTTTTTTTTTTTTCATTTCTAGATTGTTCCCATGCTTCTGGCACAGAATCATCCACCTGTAGGACGGCCCTGTTTCCTAAAGGCTGTGGCCTACTTTCAGCTCACCACTGGATTGCCCAAGCTAACAAGAACTGGTCAGGTGCAGTGGTGGGTGGTTAGCATTTTGCACATTTTAAACAACAAATAGATGACTGTGCAATAGGGAACCAGTCTAGTGGCTTCACTAACTGCATTTTCTAGATAACAGGATTCTACTTTTATTTTGCCATTTCTGAAGATCATATTCATATTTTTAATAGCAATGAATTTTTATATATGGCTCCCTGTCAAGGTAAAGAAAGTAACACTAGCAGAATCAGCTTTGGTCAGTGTTTTTCTATTTCTACTCATATCTTATGTTTAGTTAAGTTTTTGCAGAACAGAGGATTGGACCTAGAACTTTCTGCTTCCTGGGCAAGTGTTGTATCACTGAGTTATACTTCAAGCCCTTGACTTATTATTTCTTAAAACAGTCCTTTGAGTTCCTTTAGAAGGTGATGAAAATTCTCCTTTTGAAAACAGCAGTCTTTGGACATGTGTAGTTGTTTGCTTGCATTAAGAACTATATTTTTTTGAATAAATGCCAAAATTACTCTCTGTATGCACATAAATACTTAGAAAAATAATCATTCTTTGCCATGCATTTTTTTCTGATCTTTTTAATGCGTTAATGATATTGTTGAAGTCATTGCAGCAATAAGTTGTAGTTTTCTCAAGTACTTACCGCAAGCACTTCTGATGTTTCTACCTATAATGCTTTGTAAATGTGTGTATAACCAATGGAGCTCAGTCTCAATTAGTGACAGGTGAAATAAATAATTTAAATATATATTTAGCTTTTTTGTTTTTGTTTTTTAACTTTTACAAAACTGTGAGAATTTCATACATGCGTATACGGTGTTTTGATCAAATCCATTCCCACTCCCCGCCTCCAGCATTCCCCCCTCTGAAGAGGTAACCCTAAAATCTTTTAAGGATTAGATACAAGCTCCCAAATACTTTGGACATTTTGATTTTTTTTTGGCCTTTGGAATGGAGTTTCTTGCTAATAGGTCCAAGGACATTTTGACTTTTAGCCCAGAAACTGGCTACATTTCTTTGGGGGTGTTTTTACCCTAACTGCCTAGCCATTTCCTACCTCCTATTCTTATCACGCCATCCTCTGAAGGGGTTATCCAAATTGCCAATAGGGAATAGGGATGCAGACTGCTCTGGCTTCTTCCATGCTGAACAGGGATGCAGGGTGAGGCAATTGGAGTACCCTTTCAGTGAGTCCATCTAAAAGACTCCCAAATTGCATAACTCTTGTCTCTAAGGGGAAGAGAAAGTCCTTGAGTCATGACTAGGAGATGTGAATGAGAAGTAAAGGCAAGAGTAATTAGCATTGCAAGTTCTAGACAGGGAACTAGAAAAAAGTCAGAACAGGGCAATTTTCAAATGTTCATATGAGAGTCCATTGGAGTTTCTTGACAGGGGCTTCCAAAAGCATCCCTCTATTGGGTTCTTCCTCATTTTTCTTTTGTCTTCCAAGGCTGGACTAATTGGCTGGAAAGAGTGGCTAAGATACTCAGGTGATGGTCCAGTGACCCTGCTTGGCACTCCTTTTAATGAATGAGCACAACCGTCAGCAAGCCCAGTTGTGACTATGTTTAGCAATAAGGCTCAGCCAAAGTCGTGATGATGGTAGTTATTTAATGCAGAAGGGACTTCTGTCTAGCATCATCTTATTAAAAGGACCTGGAATTTAAAATGATTTGGTGCTAGGAGCCACATATGAGGGAGAACATACATCGTTTGTTTTTCTGAGTCTCTGTTACTTCACTTAATATAACAGTTTCTAGTTCCATCCATTTACCTGCAAATTTCATGATTTTATCTTTCTTTACAGCTGAGTAAAATGCCATCGTATAAATGAACCACATTTTCATTATCCACTCATCAACTGAGGGACACTTCGATTGCTTTCTGGCTATTGTGAAAAGAGCAGCAACAAACATGGATGTACATGTTTGTCTCTACAGTAGGATGAGTCCTTTCAGTATATGTCAAGGAGTGGTATAACCAGGTCATATGGTAGGTTCATTTTTAATTTTTTAAGAGTTGTCCACACTGTTTTCCATAGAGGTTGCACGAGTTTGCAATCTCAGTAGTGAATGAGTGTTCCCCTTTCTCCACATCCTTGCCAGCATTTGGTATCATTTGAGTCAATAAATGTCATTAATCATATAAATGGATTCAAAGACAAAAAACACATTGTCATCTCAATAGATGCAGAAAAGGCTTTTGACAAAATTCAGCATGCATTTATGTTCAAAGTCCTAGAGGGAACTGGACTGGAGGGAACATGCCTCAGTATAATTAAAGTCATATACAACAGACCCACAGCCAACATCATTCTAAATGGAGAAAAACTGGAAGCATTCCCATTAAAATCAGGAACCAGATGAGGATGTCCACTATCTCCACTCATTTTCAACATAGTGCTTAAAACTCTTGCTAGAGCAATAAGACAGAAGGAAATTAAAGGAGTACTAATTGGAAAAGAAGAGGTCAAACTATCCCTTTTTGCAGATGATATGATACTATATCTAAGAGATCCCAAAAGGTCCACCAGAAAACTCCTAGAACTGATCAACACTTTCAGTATAGTGGAAGGTTATAAAATAAAACTATAAAACTCAGTGGCCTCTCTATATACCAATAACAAGCAATTGGAGAAAGAGTACAGTGAAATGCTCCCATTCACAATTGCTGCAAAAAAATTAAAATATCTTGGAATAAATCTGATGAAAGACACCAAAGATCTCTACAATGAGAATTTTAAATTGTTAAAGAAAGAGATTGAGGAAGACACCAGGAGATGGAAGGACCTCCCATGCTCATGGATTGGAAGAATTAATATTGTGAAAATAACCATCCTACCAAAAGCAATATATAGATTCAATGTGGTCCCAATCAAACTTGCCATGATATGCTTCACAGAATTAGAAAAATCCATCCTTAAATTCACATGGAGGCACAAAAGACCCTGGATATCCAAAGCAACCCTGAGCACAAAGAGCAACACTGGAGGGATTACTATACCAGATCTCAAAGTATACTACAGAACCATAGTCATGAAAACAGCATGGTACTGGCACAAAAACAGACATATAGATCAGTGGAACGTCATTGAAGATCCAAACCTGAGTACACGCAGTTTCAGCCACCTGATATTTGACAAAGGTGCCAGGAACACACAATGAAGGAAATATAGCATCTTCAACAAATTGTGCTGGCCAAACTGGATCTCCACCTGTAGAAGAATGAAACTAGATCCTTATCTTTCGCCTTGCACAAAAGTCAACTCCAAATGGATCAAAGACCTCAGTGTGAAACTGGAAACCCTGAAAGTATTAGAAGAAAATATTGGAAATAACTTATAGGCTATAAAGTGTAGGAAATCAACAAATGGAACTTCATTAAACTAAAAAGCTTCTGTACATCAAAAGAAATAATCAAAGAAATGAAGAGAAAACCCACAGAATGGGAAAAAATCTTCACCAGGTACACATCTGACAGAGGTTTAACATCAAGAATATATAAAGAACTCAAAAAACAATTGAGAAACCAAATTACTCAATTAAAAATGGACTAAAGATCTAAACAGAGTTCTCAAAGGAAGAAATAAAGATGGCTAAGGAACATCTCAAAAGTGTTCAACATTGTTAGTAATTAGGGAAATGCAAATTAAAACCACCCTAAGGTATCACCTTACCCCAATCAGACTGGCTAGGATCAAGAGAACAAATAATATTTACCTTTATTTCAGTGAATCAGTACAGCTACAGCAAAACTAAAGGAACTCAAATTAGGCAAACAGAGGAATGATTACCCTTATAACTGTTATCAATGGAAATCTTCTCTTTGTTTACACTATGTTCGTGAATTAAGGATAAATGAATTCTACTGAATTACTTGTAAAGTATTACTTTAAACATTTTAAATATCTACAATAATTTTAAGGGTTCCCAATTGATGCTACTTATTTAAAGAGTTTACAAGCTAAATTGTTAGAAAATCTGAACTATGAAAATTAGAATTAACCAGGTATTTTTGCATTCTACATTAATGAATGAGAACAGTAAATATTGTGTTCTTTTTAATTTTTAATAACTACATGATTAGAAGAAGCATTTCATTACAGCTTTAACATATTCAGTAACACACTCCAGAGCAAGAGTACATCCCTTTCACAAGTGGCTGTAAGATTGTGTTTTATATGAGGGCTTAAATTGTCATTCTGCAGTAATCCTGGATCTTTTTAGATTTGTAACCTAGCAAGGGAGCAGATTAACCGACTTCTAGAATTTGGGGGACTGATTGTAGAGAAGTCACAGGAACAGTTGAATAGGTTGGGGAGTTAGAGGGCTCAGTGCATTTAAATGAAAGTGTCAACTTCAGTGTTTCATCACATGTTTAGATGCTGTTATTCTGGGGATACTTCTGGGTATTTAAGACGTTATTAAAAAGGAAGAAGAAATACAAGTGTTCAATGTAGTACTGAAATGTTGAAAAGAATGTATAATACCATTTGGATGCAGCATTTAAAAAAAAATATTGACTAGATGATGTCATTACAGTATAATCATTATCTTAGGTGTAAGTCACAATCCTTGCAGTTAGGACAAGAAGATTAACATTGGTAGAAGTACTGTGAAGAACTACACAAGGATACATCATCAGCTTAGGCATCAACCTAGACCACTTCTTAATATTGCCACATAGTTATAGGTGGATATCACTGTATGAAGTTTAGTTTTCTGACATGAGGGTTTTTTTTTCAATTTTATTTATTT